TGCAACATGTTGAGTTTGTTGAGATTAAATAAGAATATAATTGTTGCATAATAGTCAAAATGAGGTTGAATAATATCATTATATACTGTGATTTTAGTCTCCGTTGATAAGTTTTCAGATATCGGGCTAAAAAAATACAGCTTTTTCGATATTTTTTTTTGTAGTTAGGTATATTCAAAGTGAGTATCAAAACTTAAAACATTGTCAAGCTGAAACCCTAAATATTTAAGTGATGTGACAATTTGGATTTTTTAATTGTTAATATTTAAATGTATGCTGTTAGTATCAAGTAAAATATATTTATATTTTGTGGTGAAGATCATTGCAGTTCTTTTTTAACATTTAACTTCAATTTGTTTATTTTCAAATATTTATTAACATTGTTTAGAATAGAATTCATTTACTGAATGGCTACATCCAAATTAATGAAATCACAAATTATTAAAAGGTCAATATCGTTAATATACAGAATAAACAGAAGTAGGCCTAAATAACTACTTTGTATAATTCCTGCTTCATTATCCATTTCAGATGATACCTGATCATTAAAATGTACTCTCCGTTTGCGATATTCTAAATAATTTCTAAGCCACTCGATCACTGTACTGCTTAAGTTTTGAAATCATTATTTCCCTATGGATTGTCTCAGAAGCCCTTTTTAAATCAAGAAATACAGCAACAACATATTTATTTTTATCAAAATTATCTTTTATGTGGCAAAGTGTAATTTGTAATGCTGATTCCATGAGAACTTTTTTTGAAAACCTGATTGTTTTTTAAAATTTTATTTTTGTAATATGGTCCAATAATTGTTCATAAACTTTCTTTTTTTTATCTCTGTAGGTTAATGCAAATTTAAAATGAAGTATGAATTTAAAGAATTATTACCTATTAGTTGTACAGATTATTATAAAAGGTGTTTATTAAAGAATGGGCCATATTTCAAATGTAGTTAGTTTGGACCAAAATAAGTTTTATTTGAGTCAATTTACGTACAATTTTGCTTGCTTAAGAAATTACAGAGTGCAGAAAATATAAATATTTTTCTCTTTATCATTTATTTAAGTAGTCTCAAACTAATTAATTAGGTACAAAGTGTATAAATACAAATATATCCAAGTTAAAATAAATATGTCTTTAAGAATTACACAAATGTTAAAATAATTTGACAATTTACACTAAAAACTTATAATAATATTAATGATCAAACTGGCAGTTCCACCAAAAATGTGTTTCATTTAGGGTCATTTTATGACTATCTCACCGATTTTAATGAAATTTGCTACAGTTTCTCTATATGGGTGAGATGAAAAATCCAAAATATTTTTTTTTGATCAGGAGTTTTTTTTATTTATTTTTAATAATCGAAAAATTGACCAATTTTGGTCCAACACAACTTCACAAAAATTAGAATATCTTGAGAACTACTTATCGTAGATCAATAAGATATAGTAGCTCGTTGTAAAGATAATTCAAACACCGTTCCAACGATGTATATGACCTATTTTATTTTCATTTTTTTTTGTAAATTTTCAAAAATACATTTTTTTATTTTTTTCAAAAAGTCATATTTGATTTTTAAAAAAAAAAATATATATATATATATATATTTTTATCAATATTTTGGCAAAATATGTCCCAAATTTTAAAATGGAGAAATCATGGGTTCAGTATGAAATAAAAATAATAAAAAAACATGTGAAAATCTAATTAAAAAGTTAAAATTATGAACATTTTTGGCATTATTTTTGTAATTGAGCTGCGCGAGAAAAATAAAATGTTTGTAAGGTTCTTGATTTTATTTTTAAGCTCAGGTATTAAATCCTTTAAAAACAAATGAAAAGCTTTTTTGTTATGGTTTAAGCAATCTGAAATGTAAACATAATTTAAATGCTTCATATTATCGTTTTCATCTTTGTAATATACTACAAATGGATGAAGTGTTGCCTGACTGATAGTCCAGTGGTATGATTGGACCTCATCCTGTAAGACAAAATAATAATTTTCGGCAAAATCACAAGTGATAAGTACTCATTATTAAATTTGTTTTAGTCTGATTGTACAAATCTTTTTGCATAGTGGAAATAAACTAGTGTGTTTTTACACTAAATCGTGCACAAATTCCTCAAGAAAATCTTCAGTGGGTTTAAAAATCGTCTCCATGTTACATCGATCCACAGAAACCCACTTGTATGTAATATCAATCAAAATTTCATCAAATTTTTCCATTAAAATTTCTTTTGGAATTTTCGTATCTGTATCTGTAATGTGTGGAGGGTGGGTTACCCTCACGGCACTTAGGCCTCATTAGGCCCATTGTGTATCCTCCTAAGATGATAGGCACCTCCTAGCTCGTGAGCCAGCCTACAGATTTAATGTAGTTGACAACATCGCCAAGAGGTGCTTCTCTTATATCGGCTGGTGTTAGCCGATATTCGCCGACCACAAATATTCTTATAAATGAGTGCGTCGGGCAATCGTAAAGGATATGCTCGATGGTCTCATCTTCTTATTCGCACCCTCTGCAGAGTGCGGATTCTGACAGCCCCATGATATGGAGATGCTTCCGTACTTGGCAATGACCAGTCAGAATGCCTGTGACCAGACGCAGATTCTGTCTAGTCATAGTCAAGTGTTTGTTTGCTGCAGTATTATCAGGATAACTTAAGAGCTCCCTGGCAACTCTGCAGTTTCTTGTTTCATCCCATATTTCCTTAAATTTCACAAGGGAATGTTCTTTAATTAGGTCTGTCACTACCGATTTTGTTAGGCCAATAGAAGGGTCAGGTCCAAAAAGTATTTGGTTGGCTGCTTTTTTGGCTAGTGAATCGGCAAGGCGGCTACCTTTCGATGTGGCGTGACCTTTGATCCATCTTAAGGTGACCACATTGTTGATGGATACTTCGGCCAAAGCTTCGTGACATTCTAGTACTAACCCCGAATAAATTCGTGGTCTGTTCAGGATGAGTAGTGCTTGTCTGCTATCTGTATAGATGAGCATGTTCCTTCCAGTGATATTATTTCTGGTTATTTCTTTTGCTGCTATGATAATCCCCGTTAGCTGTTTAAACTACATTGGTACTATTGCTCACAGCCCATTTTATGTTTAAGTTTAAGAATCTGGAGTATATTCCGCATCCTGAGTCTTGTTTTGTTTTAGAACCGTCGGTGTAGATATGAATCGTACCTGCCACTTCTGGCTCTTCTATTTGTTCTATTATAACTTTATATGGCTTATGGAAGATATATCTCGGTGAGATGGAGTCCATGTTCGCTTGAAGCAGTGGGAGCGTATCGAGCGCCTCCTTTTAAAAGTGACTTCTCGCCTCACCAGATCCTACATCAGGTTCTATTCCAACCGTGCGGAGGCGTGTCATTGTCGTCAGAGCAACCTCCTTGATGTAAATATCAAGGGGAGTGAGACTAAGAATGAATTCCATCGCTCTGGTTGGTGTTGTTTTCATGGCTCCTGTTATGTTGAGACATGCTGTTCTTTGAATTTGTTCTAGTTTACGGATAGCTGTTAATTTTTGGGTTTTCGGTACCCAAACAACTGCACCGTATGTTAGCATAGGTCTTATGATAGCCGTGTAAGTCCATGCGACGATTCTGGGGGAGAAACCCCAGGTGCGTCCCGCAGTACGGCGGCATTGTTCATAAGCAATGTATGCTCTTTTAACTCTGTTTTCTAAATGCGAGTTCCATGTTAACTTGCTGTCAAAGGTGAGACCTAGGTACTTCACCTCTGTCGCAAAGTTGAGTTTTGTGTTTAGGAGTTCTGGAGATTTTAATTCCATTTTCATCCTTTTTTTTGTGAAAAGGACCATTTCTGTCTTCTTAGGATTGATAGACAGTGAATGGTCCTTGCACCACTGTCCTATAATTTTTAGAGCTACTTGCATTCTTTCGCAGAGTATGTTCTCAAAATTCCCTGTTTGCAGAATGACCAGGTCATCTGCATATGCGATTGTGTAGTGACTGTCATTATTGAGGCGGCTAATGAGGGTGTCGAGGACCGTATTCCACAGTAGAGGTGATAGCACCCCTTCCTGTAGACATCCCCTCGCAACGAAGCCTCTTATATTTGTTATGTTTACTGCTCGCTTTGAGAGCATGTTATGTATCCACCCACTAACCATTTGTGGAACATTCCTGTTGGTTAGTGAGTGTATTATCTTTGGGAAGGTGGTTTTATTAAAACCACCTTCTATGTCTACGAAAACACTCAAGGCGGACTCCTTATTGTCCAGGGACCTTTCTATCCGGCCAGCAACTAGATGAAGGGCTAAATCAGTAGATCTGCCTGGGGTGTATGCATGTTGGTTTGGGTGTAGTGGTGTTGTTGTAATCACCGCATCCCTTATGTACCCTTCGCATAGTCTTTCCAATGTCTTCATGGAAAACGGTGTCAGACTAATTGGTCGGTATGTTTTTGGGACAGTGTATTCCATCCTTCCAGGTTTGGGTATAAATACCACTTTTACCTCTCTCCGTTTTTGGGGATATACCTCAGAGCCAACGAGGACCTGAATATACCCACCAGGTGCGGTGTGAGTTCTTCCAGACCCCACTGAAGTAGGGCTGGATAGATACCGTCAGGTCCTGGCGATTTAAATGGAGAGAAGCTGGATATTGCCCATCTAATTTTTTCATCGTCTACAATATGTTTGGCAGTTTGCCAATCATAGACAGATGGATTGTATTTTTCCTCTTCCCAGTCGGCCACGTTTGTGATTGGAATTTCAGTTCCAGGACAAATTTCACATTTCCCGAGGTAACAATCTACGATTGCTGGTTTGCCCATTATTTTTGCCAAACATGCGTGGTAGTCTGGAAACATCGCGTTTTTAGTTAATTTATAAATTTTGGAATCACTCATCAGCAATTTAATATTTTGATGGATGAAGCAAAGATGCAGTTTTTTGGTTTAAGTTCATAAAATTTGGTGAAGCCATTTTTTATTTCTGGGTACTCCTTTTTAAACAAGGCATAAAGTTCTTTTAAGTTGGCCAAAAGCAATTTTTTTGCACATATTCTTTGCGGTCTTCTTTTTCAATTACTACACAGTCCTTATTTCCTGGCATCATTCTGCTTATATCTTCACTCAAATAAAATTCTCTAACTATTGTAAAAATATAATTTAAAATGGTTTTTCCTGGTTTCGGATTGGGCGTAGAAAAAATACCTTTTTCTTTCACCATTTTTTTTACTGCCCTTGCCATATATTGAGACACACTAAACTCTTTCTGAATTTGTGCTCTGGTCCAACTAATTGGCAGAACTGACAACACCAGCATTTTCTTACATCTTTTGGTGATTTCAGCAAATTTTACTTTTAGTTGCTTTACTATCTCACAATCATGTTCATTCGCACTATTAGCAGGCGCGGGGGTTTCTTCTAATTTTACACGTCTTTCTTTATCCATGTTCTGATCACTAAGTACCTTCACTTTTTCTGCTTTCTGATTAGTTAGTCATTTCTTTTTGATGGGAGATTCTTCTATGAGCACCTGCGACTGATTAAGAACTTCCAGCGACTCTTCTGATCCAGATTTAAAATTGGGGAATCAAAGGTAGTTGATGGTCTGAAAAAAATATTCACAAATATGTAGGTACTTAAATATACCATAAAATAGGTATTAGAAGTGCCAATGTCTTGGCTTGTTTCCTATCATTTTTAACAAACTATGAAAGTATACATAAATCGATTGTAAATATGTACTTACCCTGCTTCAGGCGAATTACTTTTCTTTGAACTTTTCATAAGTTCAATTCGACACCCATCACAAATCTTCATTCCTACCTGAATGTCTATATCAGAGCACATATTTTCTGAAACGTTCCTCAATTTTCCAGAGTGTTTCTTTAATTTTAACAGATGACGATACCTGGTCGCAAATATTTTAGACTAACCTTTTGGATTATCTTCAGACATTTGTGACTTCTATGAATTTTTAAATTTCACCCTCAATTGCACTCCCTCAGACAGCTCGACAAACTCCAGTGTTGAATGTATGATGAGTGGATGTAATTGTTGAGCTGGTGGACTGTATAACTGATGAGAAATAAATCTATTGCTTCGAAGGAGAACTGTACAGCACTTTTATTTACTTTGTATTAAAAACAATAATTGTGTGAGTAAGACCGACACAAGAGATGAATGAATTCTCAATGAATGACGTTGGAGACAATTGATAGTTCCATGGCACAAGGTTTAGTAGTACCAACTGTCCCAACCGAAATAAAACTAAAACACTATCGGTTGCATACATAGTAGGCCTTAACATGCCGGCCACCTTAAAAGTGTCTCACTTTTAACAAACAGAAAATACAAGTTATTGTTCACTGGCTATTGGCAGGAGACACACTTTAGTAAGGGCACGCTTGACAATGGCACCTGATGGCAATTTAACTGACACTACGCGAACGAGATTGTCCTTTCCTGGAAAGAGGTTGATGATTCGGCCCATACACCACTTAAGTGGAGGCAGATTATCTTCCTTAAGGATCACCAGGTCACCTTCCTTAATGGTATTTGGGTGAAGAGTTTTCCACTTGGTCCTGACTTGGAGCTGTGACAAATATTCTTTTGACCAACGGTTCCAAAAATGTTGGTGGATCTGTTGTAGTCTTCTGAATCTAGTAAGCCGATTTTGTCGAACTTCCAACAAGTCAGCTTCAGGAAGTGCAGACAGTGAGTCTCCGATGAGAAAATGGGAAGGAGTCAATGGGGACATGTCTAATGGGTCAATGGACAGGGGAGTTAATGGTCGGGAGTTCAAGCATGCTTCGATCTGAATCAAAAGTGTATTCATTTCTTCATAAGTCAAGTGGTCATTAGAAATGACTCTTTTCAGGTGATACTTAACTGCCTTAACAGCAGCTTCCCAAAGTCCGCCCATGTGCGGAGAACGACTAGGAATAAATTTCCAAGTAATATTATCCTTGGATAAAAAATTTTGAATATCTGTATCGTGAGTTTTATTCAATAAAAAATTATGTAACTCGATTAATTCATTATTACACCCGACAAAATTTGTTGCATTGTCCGAATGAATGACCGACGGTTTACCTCGTCGGGAGATAAATCGTTTTAAAGCATTAACAAAAGCGTTAGTAGTAAGTTCGTGAACAAGTTCAATATGTGCTGCCTTGGTTGACATGCAGACAAATATACAAATGTATGATTTTACTAATTTTGAATTTCTAAGACAACTTGATTTAGTGAGAAAAGGTCCAGCATGATCGACGGCACAATTCAGGAACGGTCGAATTGCTGCAAAGCGGTCTGCTGGTAGATCGCCCATAAGTTGTATCATTGGAGTTGGTTTTGCACGAAAACATTTAACACATTTTCCCAGTACTCGCTTGATAGAATTTTTTCCAGATACTATCCAAAAACGTAATCTAATGATAGACAACAACAGTTGTGTACTAGCATGTAAGTGATTAAGGTGATAATTCATAATCAACAATTCAGTGAATATATTATGTTTTTGTGGTAATATTATCGGATGTTTTTGGGAGAAATTTACATTGGAATGTTCGATTCTTCCTCCGACTCTTAACAAATTGTTTTCATCCACGAATGGATTGAGATTAAGCAATTTACTTGATTTCGGTAAAGGTTTTGTTTTTTGTAATGACTGTATTTCGGATGAAAATTCGTGACATTGTGTTATCTTACAGAGATTAATTAGTGCAGAATTGAGTTCTGTGCTTGATAACGGACAGTCTGTTTGATTTGTGACAAACAGTTAACCTTAAAGCGTAGAATATAAGCTGTAACCCGCTGAAGTTTGGTAAGTGACGAAAATTTATTGAATATTGAAAAATCTGTGACTTCCTGAGAAATGAAAAATGACGATAATTTTAAATCTGGAATTGTGACACTCGGGTCTAATTGATAGGAGGATGGTTCAAAATGAGAGTTTTGCAAAAATGATGGTCCTTGCCACCATAAGTTGCAAGACATTAACTCCTCTGGATTGATTCCTCGAGAAATTACATCTGCTGGGTTATCATGTGAAGAGACGTGGTACCAATCATGTGCAGCAGTGATTTCGGTAATCTCGGAAATCCGATTTGCTACGAATGTTTGTAGATAACATGGTTGCGTGACTATCCAGGCAAGAACAATTTTTGAATCGGTATACAGAAAAATGCTGTCAAGAGGTTCAGTAAAGGCGGTTTGAACTGCTTTTACTAGCCGCGACAGAAGTAGAGCTCCACTGAGCTCTAATCGAGGTAAAGTTATTTTCTTGAGCGGAGCGACACGACTTTTAGCACCCAAGAGTCGTACAGTGCTTCCAGTTGAGTTACATGAACGAATATAAATACAGCAGCCATAAGCTGCTTCGGATGCATCACAGAAGCCATGAATTTCCATGTGGCGGGGTGAAATGCATACCACATGTCTTGGTATACTTAAAGTGTTGATTATGGGAATATTGACAATAAAAGATTTCCAAAAATTAAGTAATTGAGTGGGAATCGGATCGTCCCAACCTGATTGTGATTGTCAAAGTTTTTGCATAATGCTTTTTGCTCTGATAGTGGTAGGACCAACAAGACCTAACGGATCAAAGATTTTTGAAATCGTTGATAGGATTTGTCGTTTGGTTATGGTAGTGGGTTTCAGTACTTGAAAATCTACCGAATATTGTAACGCGTCAATATTAGGATCCCACACCAGTCCTAGAGTCTTACATTCGGATTTTTCATAAAATTCTTGCTGATTATAATTTTGCTCAGAAATGATACGTTTATCATTTGAAGAAAATTTTCGAAGTTCGAACCCACCCGAATGTAGAATGGAGGTGATTTCATGTTTGAGTTGTATGAGTTCGTCTAAGGAATTTGCCCCGGTTATTAAATCGTCTACAAAAAAATCTCGTAATATGACATTACAAGCCTTGGGGTATTGTGATATATTTTGATTAGCTAATTCCTGAAGACAGCAAGTGGCTAAATAAGGAGCGGACGCTAATCCGTAGGCTAATCGAGATAACTCAAAGATTTGAATGGGTTGCTCTTTATGTTCCCGCCAAAAGATCCTCTGAAAACGACGGTGTTCAGGATGAATGATAACCATGCGGTACATTTTCTCAATGTCCGCTGTTAAAATATAGGCGTGAGTCCTAAACCGAATAATGATATCAAAAAGATCATCTTGTATTTGAGGACCAACGCCCAAACATTGATTGAGTGAAATTACAGAATCTGTTGTGGCGCTGCCATCGTAAACAACACGCAATTTCGTGGTGCTGGAGCTTTCTTTTTTGACCCCGTGAAGCGGTAAATAAAACGCAAAGGAGTTGTCATCAATATTGGAGCCGACTAAGGACATGTGATTCAGGGTTTTGTACTCATTAATAAAGTCTACGTACATCCAGAATGATATGAGGGATGAAGAGAAGAGTAAACTACATAACATATCCCAAGCAGAAAAAAGCCATTTGTTGCTACTATGATTTTGTTTAATTTTACCCCCAATTGCACCCCTCAGACAGCTTGAAAAACGCCAGCATAGTATCAGGGATGAAGAAAAGAGCAAACTACATAACATATCCCAAGCAGAAAGGTGTACAAAGCCATTTGTTGCTTCTATGGTTTTTTGTTTAATTTTACCCCCAATTGCACCCCCTCATACGTCTCGACAAACTCCAGCATGGTATCAGGGATGAAGAAAAGAGCAAACTACATGACATATCCCAAGCAGAAAAGTGTATAAAGCCATTTTTTAAATTTCACCCGAATTGCACCCCCTCAGACGGAGCAAAAGTTAATTACGGGTATTCTTGTTATGTATTGAAACTTCCTCAATTGAAATCTGCAAACAAAAAGCGTCTACATGTCATTTGAACCAAGTTATATGTTACAATAGACCTATATTTTTCTCAGTATACATTTGTGGATAACTTCACACCCGTGAGTATTGACCAAAATTTTAATTTCTGAAATTATTTGAATTTCAATTAAAATTTTAATTCTGAAAATTTCGATTCTAAAAATTTTTATTTTAGAAATTCTGAATATTTGGTTTTGGAAAATTATAGTTTGAATGAAATCCGTTAAAATTATTAGAATAAAATTGTTTTTGTAATGGTTGCCTTTGCTGAGGTTTCAAATAGTTATTTCTGCCATTTACAGGTCTATAATTTTGGGAATCTGAAATATTACCTTTTTGCAAACTATAGAGAAAATTTTCTTCTTCGACTACAAATCCCATCATCGCATGTTCTAAACTATCTGGGTTTCGTAAACGAATATTATTTTGTAATTGACTTGTGAGGCCGTGAATAAATGTTTTAAGGGTCATAATTTAATTTTGAATTCTGATACGTTTTTCTTCAGGCGAAATTTGACGCATTTATTTTGTATACAATTAAACTTTTAGTGTCTTGGCAACGCACACCAAAGCGGC